TTGTTGGCTAATGGGCCTGTTATTTCTTTTTTGTTTAATCTCTTTATGTTACTGCCTAGCTGGCCGCCCACTTAAGGGCATACTTGTCATTACTCTCTAACTTTAATTCTTAATAAAAAAAAGGGTTAGAGGAGAAAGGAGAGATGATTCGATTTCTTCTTCTTCTTCCTTCTCTTTTTGCCATCTTCTTCTCTTGTATTGCTACTCTTACTTCTCTTCTTCCTTTTCTTCTAATCTTCAAATTTACACCTAATATTTGAGGACTGATTTGCATTTGTAGTAATAGAAGCGGAATTATTGGCTGCTTTTAGTTGTTTTTTTTATAGGTAGTTACTTTTCTTCCTTTCTTATGTTTCTTTTTATTTTATGGATTTATTTATTGTTATTGGGCCATGGGCCTATTTTAGATTATCTCAGGTTCTTTTACTGCCATTGTACTAGGGGCACGACTTGTGTAATGTTTCACAGATTTTCATTTTTAAACTATATAAGAGAGTTGGGAGGATAGTCATTACGACCATCAAGATCTGATTCTCTTCACCCTTCTTTCTCATCTTTATTTCTCTTATTCTTCTCTCTTTGCCATTCTCTTCTTTTAACACCAAGATTGTGTTTATTAATTGATTAATTGTTGCTGAATTATCTGACAAAAGGTACTCTATATTTCCCTTAGAACATAAAATTGTGGATAAACAATTTATTGTAGCTGAAGTTAGTCAATCAGTAGTTGGAGTGGAGAAATAAAAACTATGACTGACTTTATCATCTATCATACCTCTGACTGCAGTTCTCGCATTATCTCATACATGTCTAGAAGTACAAACAACTTTTCCGGTGACCTCTTGCTTTTAGCAATGGCCTCTCCAAAACTAAGAAGAATGGATACACTGTTTGCAGTAGCTTCAGCAAAACAATTATCCCTGAGAGAATCAATGCCTTGAAATATTTGATCAGACACTTTTCGTTCCCCAGCAAATAGCAATTTGACCTGTTTCAAGGTCAATCAGACAATTGAGACAAAAACAATAAGATAGCAAATATAACACCCAAAAAGCAAACAATAAGATAGTAATCATAAAACTCAAAAAAAAAAAAAAGCGTACAGCAATCCGCATGTAATGGATCCAATTCCCAATTTTGGCCTCCAAAACCTCCCATTGCATCTTCTGTACATCATCTTTACTGAGTCTTTCCACCCCAAGCTTTCGAAGGCTTTGTTCCAGAACAGAAGCACGAGTATCCCTAAACACCAACAAAAATTATTACTGTTCTGATACTCCAGAACACCATGATGAATATAACAGAAAGATACAAATCACTTTGAAATTATTCATATATATATTGGCATTAGTTACAACTAAAATGCCTATGCAATAAATATGGTCTATCATCTAGCAACCTACCTAGGCAAAAGTCCAGTGACAGTGTGATGCAGTCCAGGAAATACAAGATTAGCATAGAATAAATAAAAGCCATCTGTGTAATTTTTCTATCAACAAGTACTTGTAACAGGATAAACAAAATAAAAGAGGATATGATACATAGGGAAACCAAGGGAAAATCTATGATACCAGAAAGACATGGTACTGGAAGAGCTTTGACCAATCAAAGCACCCTGTGAATTTTGATCAAGATCACCAGATTGGTCACCTCTTTTATGATATCAGTTTATTAGCTATAAGTTTTTCCAGTATCAGAGTCGAACCTAGAAAGAAAACGCCACAATCCTAGAAAATAATAGAACAAAGTCTAAGTGTGTGTTTGTGCATGTGGTAAATAATATATCTAAGACAGAAATTCTGCATACAGGTTTTTTATGCATTCTTAGACTTGTATTAATAAAATAGTTACTTGAAAAACTAGGAATCTTTCATCTTCTAAAGAGGGGAAGAAACAAGATTTTGCTTCATAAATTGAGGAGGAAATGAGCTTCTATTCATGTAGGAATGAAGGTAAGTTCTCTTTGTGAAGTGATTCACTTATGTTTCTACAACCAACAACCAGGCTACTATATTTTCCCTATTTTGTACATTTTCTTTTTTTTTTTTTTTGAAAAGGTAAAGTAAGATTGTATTAAAGATAAAAAATAATATATAAGGTCCTCTGTACAAAGAGATTGTGTAATCTGTACATATAACAACCCCATGCTAAGGGCCCCCAAAAAAGTCAGCATTGCCCATGCCCATGTCAGCACAGAGCCAAGTCTGGTTAAATCTTATTGTATACATATTGTAGATTTCATGTATACACATGCATGGATAATATATGTAGCTGGGACAAAGCTTAGAAGATGATGATTATGATGACATTACATGGATAATATATATAATTATATAAAGTTTATAATTAATAAATTTAGTATTTTATATTTATATAAACTTATTTTATATGTATAAGTTAAAAGTGATTAACTTTTTATTAAAATTTTTAATTCTTCCTTTATTTTAAAAACAATGACCCCTGGATCCAATTGGATGTGGAAGTGGCTGAATCCAATCAGAATCCAACCTGATCATGGCTCTAGTTAGGGATCATTCATAATGGCTGAACTGAATGGCTTGGGTTGTTTCATAAAGGCTGAATTAGCTGTGCATATCATTTTGTCTTTTAGTGAATAAGTACAAGTGATGAGGTGAACTTATTAATGGCCGGATGGCATGTCCCTACTTAATGGCTGAATTAGCTGTGCATATCATTTCAGAAATTGAGAGGTTACTCCCTACTTAATGACTTATTCAATAAAAGATAAAGCAGTAAGCATTTTAGTTCAGCCAATTCAGCCATTACCAAACAGCCCCTTATGGTTCATCTTTAAGTGAACAAATCAGTAAGTAGGTTGCAAGCTCCTGAATGGATGAGGGTTGATTACTATACCCCAAATATTTCATTATACGGCAATTTTATCCACTAAAAGACAAGGCAATATATCATTCAGATCAGCCACTTCAGCCGCTATTGAATAGCCAGCCCCTTATCCTGCCTTACAATGCCATTAGCAAATCTGGATGAAGGAAAACAGTTGTTAGGTTGGAAACTGGCATAAAAACCTTTAGTCAATCCAATATGAACATGAGACCTAGAGAAGGAAGCTTTCTCAGCTGTTACCTTGGAATCTGCAGGCTCTGGATCAATTTTGAATGGTCAGAGCCCAAGGCACTGCAGATACATCCTGCAAAAGACATACACCCATTGTCTACCCACCAACCAAACCCCAAAAGACACACCCATTGTCTACCCACCAATCAAACCCCAAAAGAAAACAAAATAAAAAAAAATAAGGAAAATAAGAAAACAGTTAAAATTAAGGTTTCTTTTTTCATTATGATTAATACCACCAAACAAAGCATGTCCAGATACATCCTGCAGAAGTCATGTTGTTCCAGAACTTTTGGGAAGAATTCCAGCTCATAAGCCCAAAAATGAACTTCACTATGAAGGTAAGATTGTCTTCCCAGAAAAAAATATATCAAACATCAATTATTTTTAGGACAACATTTCTTTTTTTTTTCCTTTTGGATAACTATAAGAATACATAATGTAAAAAATGAGAAATGTACAATGTATTTTCTCCCTTTAGAGTATTCCATCCATACCCCTTTCCCACATACTCTGTTTTATACAAATTAGAAAGTAAGATTACAACTGAGCCCAAGACTATAATGCCATATTTGTCCCTTGCTTGGTTAGACCATCTACCAACCCATTAGCCAATTCATAAACCCACCAAAATCCTGCCACCATCCCATTAGCTAGTAGCCTAATCTCCCTCATGGCATATCTGTATCTCCATAATCTTTCGATGCTGCTCATTGACCAACCCACTACCACCCTTGAGTCTCCTTCCTTCCGGGACCACATTTCTGTCTCCTTGCTATTTCCTTAACAGACTTTGAGATCCAATAAATATTTTTTCTCCTTGTTTTGCTAGAATGATCAGGCTATTGATGCATTGGCAGGCAAGTTCCAGGGAAAAGGAGTGAGAAGAAGGGATTAAAGGTTGGAAAAGTACAAAAGGAACAGCATACCTAACAGTATATTTATACCATTGCCAAAAGGGGAAACCTGCACACTTTCTGATGATGCATTCATAATTGACACCCCCAGACACCAACAATATTCCCTTACTCTTCATGTTACGGATCTCTGATGGTCTCCTCTTGCCTATTTCTCTTTTGATTTGAAAGTAAAAGAAAAAGGAAATGTACAAGGAAGGTGATAAGGAATCACACAAGAGAAAACAGCCCCACAACCACCACTCCAAAACACTCCCACATGAACAAACAAAACTCACTGCAAAATGCAAACAACACCGCCCTAATGAAAGGACAAGTACACCAAACCACAACCAAACAAAACATCTCTCCCCAACCTTTAACAACAAGCAATGACTAGAACCCAAAGAAAAACATCCCATGTCTTCAAAAGAAACCACCTAACCCGCTGCATAAGAAATTGCTCCACTATGCGCCTCTGTTTCTCTTGTTGATCTTTCTCAGTTTCTACACCATTTTATTAGGACCAACCCCAAATAGACCCCCTTTAAGCCCAGCAAAAACCTTCAAAACTTGAATTCCCTTTGAATTCTTTGACCCTTAAAACAACCAACTGCATTAGTAAACTTTTCTGAATCAAAAGTTGGGCATTGGGAGGATAGAGAGTGGGACGAAGAAGGGGGTGAGGAGGTGTTGGACGAGGATCTGTGAAGGGTTAAATATCAAACTGTCAGAAGGAGTACGGGAAGAGGGGATGGAGGATGAGAGTGCTAAGCTGGATTGAAAGAGGTAAGAGGGAGAGAATTGGGAGAACAGCGATGGGAATTTAATTAGAAGTCTGAAGAAGTTCACAGAAGGGGAAGGAGGAGAACCATGGAATGAGAATGGAGACAAGCAGAAAGAAGTGTTTGAAGGAGTCGATTAATAATTTGGGGAGAGTGTGGAGCTACGTGCATCTGTTCATGTGTTTTGTGGAGGTTTAAAAGTTTCTTTTGAGATGTTTGTAGTATTTGGTCTATGAGTCTATCATTCTCTAATGATGTTTCAGGGTGCTGCATCATTACCCTCTGATGTTTGTATTAAGTTCCCTATTTTTATTTTAATGAATATTTTTCTTTTTACTCTTCAAAACCTTTTCTGAATCAAACTTGTCTGAAATCTTCATTCAACCTATAAATCTAACAGCCTCCTCTTGCTTCATGGGGCTACACAATGGGCCCATCCCCAGCACCCACAACCACCCCCCCCCACCTCCGGTGGCCAACCAGGGTGAAGGCCAAAATCAAAATCAATCCCAAGTCTCCCCTACAACCAGCCACTGAGCCAGTTGGTACCTTCATCTATGATGGTCTCCTTTCCTTTCCCTTTTCATAATTCAGAAGATCAGGTTATCTTATTTTTTGAAAACTAGACTACATCAAAACAACTGTAGACCAAGGCACTGTACAATGAGGATCTGTCAATGGATTATAAAAGTCAGATATGGTCTCAATCCCTAAACCACTTGCCCATAAATGACTATCCAAATACACAGAAGAGTATTCTGGGTATGCAAGCATTCACTGAGATCTGAAGGGTAAGGAAAGAGCTTTGTGTCCATTGGAACTCCAAGCATGTACCCAAGACAGCAAAGACAAGATCAGAAGAAGGCTGCAATTGGGTGGCATTCCCATTCCTTGCAAGTTAGTTAGGAAAAGATCCCAGTAGCCAAGCATAGAAGATCACAGATATATAACTAGTTACGTCCTACGGTAATTTGATAGGACTGGATGTATCTTATTTCTTTCCTTCGTAATTATATAATGCTTTGGGGGAAAGCTGGAGGAGTTGGGCTCGTTAAAAAACTTAAGCTGAGCCCAACAAAAAATGGGGCGGGTCTTAGAATTTGGTGGGCCTTCTTTTAAGAGGGGAGATTAGAGTCATGTCACCCACTTAAAAGTCACGTGGGCCACATTAGAGAGGCAATCATGGATGGTAATTTAGGTCCATCATCATTCCTTTCAAAACTCCCTAGCCACTCCACGAATCAGGGGCAGAGGCTGAGTAGTAACACCCAGTGTTTTAAAAGCACAAGGACCATTTTGCACCTGAGGCAGAAGGCACAACGTGTGGCACAGGCCTTTTTGAAGACACAAAAAAGCGAAAAAAAAAAGTAAACAAAATTTAAAAATAAAAAAAATTGCCATAAATTCAAACAATGCAAAATATTAAAAATATAAACTTAAGTTTTCAAATAAATGTTTTAAAAAACCTATTGTCTCAAATTAAAATACATAAACATAACATGTAAAACATATTTAAAATGAAAATTTAAAAATAAAATCAAGCATAACATTATAAAACATATTCAAGCATGTAAACTCTTAATCTCTTTATTTTTTCCCAATTGCATTACTTCAAATAGCCACCTTTCAAGTAATGTTAAACATTACTTCAAACACTGATTTCTAGGATATATCCGGGGGGAAAATGATACGGAAAAGCCCCTATTTTATGTCAAAATGACTGAAAAAGAAAATGGTGCAGAGCCTCTGTTTTGCATAAACAAAAGGGGGAAATGATGGGGTGAAGCCCCTGTTTAATGTCACAAATGATGGAAAAAGAAAATGGGGCAGAGACCTCTGTTATTTTGTGTAAAAAGAGATGGGAAAAACGGCCAGGAGCCCCTGTTCTTGCAGAAAATATGAAGGTTTCAAAACAATAAAGCATAACCCCTTATTACAACAAAGAGAAAATGGGGTGGATCCCTCTTTTGCATAAAAAAGAGGGAGAAAATGATGGTTCAGAGCCCCAGTTTTCTGTGTAAAAAAAGAATGGAAAAAATGGGGCAAATCCCTTGTTCTTACATCAAAAAACAAGGGTTTCAAACAATAGGGAAGAACCACTTATTACAGCAAGAGAAAAGGCAAGAATAAAAGCTGCTAACAATCAAGAAAAAGAAGAAAAAGAAGATCAGAGAACGGCAATAGCAATTGAAAAATGGGGAATGTTGACCTTAAACACAGACTAGCAGCTAAAATGGAGCTTCATGCAGCAATGAACAATCATGGAAGAAGTTTCTTCTTCCGCCCAAGCCTTTTTGTTCATTCAAGGTTCATTTGATTGACTAAATGAAGACTTTTAAAAGCCATTTAAGTTTTGTGTTTAAAATGACATAATTGCACTTATATATATATAAGTTTTAATAAGAAGAGGGTTAAAAAGTCTTTATCTTCAAATGACTGTTTAATAATAATCATATGAATCACGATTTACAATTCAAACCTATGATTCATATAAAAATCGTACAACTTTTAAAAAAAAGTTGATTTATGCATACGATTCATATTATCTTATAAACGATTTGATATGAATTTACAATTTGAATCATGAATCGTACAATTTTAAAAACATTGATCCATTCCCCCTCTGAGAGTATTCTTTTGCGGCGTTCTATTTGTATTTCCCATCCTAACCACTATGGGTTCTTCAACCCACCAAGTCCCTGATCATTCGAAACTAAAAGCACCATACCACCTCTTCATTTTGCAATATGACATGTTTAGTCACTAACCCATTTCCAACTTGGTATTTGACTCCATTTTTAAAATCAAACTATGATTTTTTTTCTTTTGAATTTTTCTCCACAATGCATTTCCATAAAAGCATAGTTGTGAAGGCAACGCTTAGGTGACAAGGCGCCCATTGAGAGCCACCTTGCCGAAGTGACTAGCTTTTTTATGTACAAGGTGCCATGTAATGATTTTTATATTTTTTATTTCATGACATCATAATAATACAATAGACATTATTAGATTAATTATTCATTTTTTAGGTTTACAATATTTTCATAATTCATATTCTAATTTCTTTTATTATTTTCTTATTCATTTAGGTTCGACCAACAAGTAAATGGACATTGTCTTGAACTCTTGAAGATTTCAAAACATGAACCAATAAGCAAGGGAGAACTTGAAGGTTTTATTTGATCAACACACACAACTCCTTGAAAACTATGCATAAGGTTTTGTATGGGTTGTGTGGTTGTTCTTAGTTCTTTGGCATGGTGTGTCTGTGTTTTGGAGTGATTTTCACATGTAATGGTGAGGATTTGTGTTTAAGGTAGTCGGGTGTGTTGGATGTAGGATGTTTTCTTCTGGGTGATTTCTGGTCACCTTCCCTGTAATCTCTCCTTTTTCTTTTAAGAAAATTTCATAAGAGTTAGTTGCTTCTCCTGAGTCTCACACTCTCACTCCAAATTTCTTAAATCATATTTAGCTTACAATTATTTGTCTCCATGGGTTCTCTCTCTCCAAGCTGAAACCCTAGAACCATTTTCCAAGAAGTGCAGTGTTAACCTTCTGCATCCACCTCACACCCAGGCCCCATGCATTTATAGGTTCACAAGCCTTTTTCAAGATAACCCAAATGGAATTTGAGGTTATGTTTCTACCCTTTCCATAGTGACTCAGCCTCACTTGGACAGATATCTAAACTTCCACGGTGTTAGTCTTTTATCAAACCCTTCCAATATTGGATGCCAAATGGTCTTACAAACACATATGGTGCCCAAAGGAAGCCTGGGTATGTCATTGGAAGATTGCCCATATTGCATCCCAGCACTTCTTCTGGTTTTATTAAAATGACAAAGCTTAAGCTTAAAAGAGTACAATATCTATATCACCATCAAGTGGTTAGATACATAGACTTCCCGTAGGAAAGGAAAACAGAAAACCATAGAGAACATAATCACAGAAGGCAACTAGGTCAAAAGAGGTTATGCCCCATACTACTATGCCATCCCCACACCTCTAGCCAGGCTAGCTAGGGAATTGGCTAATCTCTGGATCCACCTGAATGAGATTTTCACAACTTCCCATTTGAACCCAAACATATATTCCCCATCAGAAGGTATCCAAATCTCCATAGACCTTCACCAAAATCTTCCAACCTCTTCTGGTTACGATAATGTGGCATACAAAATTTCTTAATACAATATCAAGTTATGCAACATTATATCTATTTCCTTGGATATAGAAGAAAATGAGTCTACATGAAAGATGACATCCAAAGTGGTGTTCACTATCAGCACGTAGAACTTTTACCTGTAAGTTTTGATTAGCTGTTGTCGGTGACCAGCTTGAACCAACTGTTGAGCCAAGTCATGCAGCAATGGAAGAATCCTTGGCGGAATGAGTGTTGGGGGTGTATAAACAGCATTTTCTACACCTTTATTTTGTTGCTCAGGATGATTATTGGAAGAAGGGTTCATGCCATCACCCTGGTGACCAGGCGATCCTGACGATGGCCGCATCGAGTTGGGAAGGCCCTCAAAAAGACGATCAGGTTCCACAGGTTTGCTGAAAACCGAAGAAAAAAACTTATTCAAAGGGCAAACAGTTGCATGCTAGCATGAAGGATCTTTTCCAAGTCAAAAAGATAAATCATAATACCATATGAGACCAACTCGAAATAAAACATGCTATCCAAACCATATTTTAAATCATTAAAGCATATCAAGAAATGCAAAATTGTCCATATATCCCTACAGGATATAGAAAAAGGAGATTCATTCCAACAGTTAAATGTATAAAATTCTCTGATTCTCTCCAGCATATCAAAACAACAAATAGATAGCATAAAATCCATAAATAGTTTACTGCCAAAATTTTTCCACCTGTTATATCAATAACAAAAAGCCTTTTTGAAAAAAAAAAAGTTGATCACCTGAACCCAAAAAAAAAAGAAAGAAAAGGGACAACAGAGACCTAAATGAGAGGGGGAAAAAAAGGAAAATATCAACCAAAACAAGGGTAAAGCAACTACAGACCACCCATGGAGACTATTCCCCCACTGAATAAGTACTTCACTCAAAACCAAAAGCTCTAACTTACCTAAAGTAAAGAAGAACCTAAGATCCATTTGATCAATTGTGTATTAATCAGGGGCAATTTGGGAATCAACCTCCATTTCTATATGTTTAAAACCCATGGCATGCATAAGCCTTATGCCCAGGAGCAAAGCCAAGGTCACAACTCCAACAGAATTCCCAGACCCAGAGCCAATAGAACTAGAAATTATAACAATGACTTCAACCCAAAGATCCCTAACTACTGCATCAAATCCTGAGAGTGACAGATTCCCATGGGAGCACCCACCAAAATCAAGCTAGGTAGCTCCATCAGAAGGGGTAACCACGTAACCTACGATAAGAACATACAATAAAAAGCCACCATCTAACCACAGAATCCAGAGAAACACTTGTTTAACTTTAGATAATCAATGGGAGAAAAGAACATAGCCAACAACAAGAACCCAACCACCACTGCTCAATAAATCAAAACCTTTTACTATCTTCACTTAAAACGAGACCAATCCATGCAGAAAACAATTTTATCTTATTATTCTTTGACTCCTCTGCCTAGGGCTGTTCATAACAAGACCCAAACCGACCAACCCGGTCCGATCCAACCCGAGTTGGCCGGTTTTTCTTCAGCACTGGTCGGTTTCGGGTTACAAAAAAACATAAACCGATGGTTCAGTTCGGTTTTGGTTTTCATGTGTGAAAACCGAAACCGAACCGACCCGAACCAACTTAGATATATATTATATATATAATATATTTCAGATATTATATATATATATATATATTTCAGTTTTAATATATATTTCAGATATTATATATATATATATATATTTCAGTTTTAATATATATTTCAGATATATATTTGTGGAAATATATATATATATATATATATATATATTTCAGCTTTATTTCAGAAATATACATATTATATATAAAATTTCTGATATATAAAATATCAGTTTTAATCCATCAAATCATTTTTAATTTCCAGGCATCCAGCCTTTGCTTTCTTAGACTTGAATCCTTTACCGTTCACACCGAGAGAATCATTCACAAAACCGACCCAAACCGATTCAAACCGACCAGGTCGGTTTTACTTAGTGTGCCTCTTAAAGCAGCTTATAGCATTGGAAATCAATTCTAACTCCCTATGCTCTTTATCCTCAATGATATCAAGCAAATAGGGCCCCTGCAATTCCATGGCAGTATCTCAACGCAGCAAAAGGTTAAGCTGAATTTTGATGGAAGTCCTTTTGGTAACTTGGGTCCGTCAGGCATAGGGGGGTCTTTAGAACACCACCAAGCCATCCTGATTCAACTGGATTTGAGGCATTTCAACCTCTTTACTTAAGGGTGATCAGTCCACTTAAATCCCTTTTTGAAGATCAAACAAAGAAGAGGAAAGAAAAAGGAAAAAATTCCTGTTTGTGTCATCCAGAAACAGAGGCTCCTATCAGATTGAGCTAAACAGCTCTGATACCATGTTTTAATTAAAAAAAGGAAAATAAGAAAAAGGTAGAAATCAACCCAGAAAATTCTTAGACCGAAGTAGAATGGAATAGAGAGAAAAATAGGAGAAGAACTAGGGATGAACAATAGAGATCGTAAATCAATTCGACCTCTAACTGCTGTCCAACCTTCAATTCACTTAATAATAAATGGCAAATTACAACTTTGATCCTACTTAAGAGATAAAAGAAATAAATAGAATAAAAAGACAAATATAACCCTGCTGACCATAAACAAAGAATAAAAAGAATTCTAACAAGAGCAATGGTGGCTATAGCTGGTCTTAATAAAGTAGCATTTCAGGGAAGAAAATATTTTCCAGAAGTGCGTGTATATATAGATTCAGTACTACATATTATATGGATTTTTATTTTTTTTATTTTTTGATCAGCAACACAGAATTGATTTCATTAAAAAAAAATCAGGCATGAGTACAACAAGAGGTCGTGAAAAAAGAAGAAAACACAGCTACAGAAAAGCTGACTCAAGCCAGATATTACAATTGAGCCCAATACAATTGAGTTCTTTCGACATATTATATAGATATACATGTATTTTTGTGCAAGGTGATCATAAATGGCACTGGAGGAGCATCTTGTATATCCAAGAACCAACCTGTAAGACGTTAAGAGATGCTTAAACTCCTCTTCCAATTTCAGAATAGCCTTTGCAAGCAAATTATTTGCATGGTTAAGAACTGCATCACTACTTTTGAAGCTTTTGTTGTTACTGAAGAAATTAACGTTACTTCTCAGTTGATCCACAGCTTCTAGGTAACTTTCTAAATCTTCATGTGGACCTCTCAGTATTTTAGCCTCTGCCTACATGTTGAAGGGATATTCACATAAGCATTCAAGAATTCAAACTGAAAATGCGATGTACTGGATTATGCCACAAGAGGTGCAACCACAGATGTTTTAGATCTTTAGGCATACTAGAATACAAGGAAGAAGATGTGCAATGAAAATACAAGGAAGAAGAAGTGAGACTGAGAATAAGTTTCTAATCCCTAATATTTATCAGAAGACTTACAAAAATTACAAGAAACTTCAAATATAGCATGTGAATGTGCAACCTTGATGCCAAACTTAAACATGTTTCTGCACAGGTTAGTCCCACTGGTTTCCAGTATATCACTCTTTGATTCATCACTGTGCAATATTCTGAGTCCTAATTACTAAACGAAATAAAATACAAAGAATCTCTGGATTAATAGGAACCATTCAATTGGCTAGAATTAATTATTTGAACAAAAATATATCTTATTCTACCATGTCCATCCAACTACTCCAACAAGATAGTGGCTATACATGGGAAAATAGCATGTTGAAAGTGAGAAACATAAGAAAAGCACAAAAGGAGGTTTGTGCCCAAACAAAGCAAAGAACAAGTTCTTTAAAATAATCTAAAAAGTAAAATACATAAAAAATGAAAAACTGAATTTTAAAAGAAATTAAATGTTTTAAAAAGCTTACTAGTTCAAATCAAAATGCAAAAGCATGACACATAAAACAAATTCAGGGTGAAATTTTAAGCAAACAAATGTGGATCAACCAAAGTGCTTCTAGCATTCAACAATTCAAACAAATAAAACTCTCTTGCAAGGCAAGCTGAGAAATATGCTTGGACAAAACAAGGCACAGGTTCTTGAAAAAAATTAAAGAATAAAAAAATAAATATTAATGCATAAAATATGAAAACCTGATTTTCAAATGAAATTAAATGTCTTAAAAAAAGCTTATTAGCTCAAATCAAAATACAAAAGCATAGTATATAAACAAATTCAAAGTGAAAGTGAAAGCAAAAAAATGTTGATTGTAGTAAAGTGATCAAAGCGCTCAACAATTCAAACATGTGAAACTGTCTCACAAGGTGAGGCAAGATGTACGCTTGAACAAAGTAAGACACTATCTTTAAAATAAATAAATGAATAAAGACATTAAAAATGAAAACCTGATTTTTAAAGAAGTTAAGTGTCTTAAAAAAACTTGCTAGCTCAAATCAAAATAAATAAGCATAACATATTAAACAAATACAAAGTGAAAGTAAAAGAAAACAAATGCAGACCGTACCAAAGTGCTTCAAGCACTCAACAATTCAAACATGTGAAACTCTCAACATCCCCATATATCTACTAACTGCATTACTTCAAGTTCAAGTGGATAGTGTAACGTTTGATATCTCACATTACTGATTTTAAGAAGCTGGAACCTTCACAATAATATCTCTTCAAAGATCCTTGAGGCAAGTCCAAACAAGCACATGTAGAGGTCTGAAGGTAGTGGCGTAGTGCCACCAACCCAAATTTTTGCGCACACAAGGGAATTGGTTCAATGAGTTTTGTTGAGATCCTATCTGGACAACTAGGGTTCAAATATTCAAAAGGTCTTTGTTTTTTGTTTCTTTTCAATGTTAATAAGACTATTACTAGTGAACAAGCACCAATAAGAGGTACTTAGAAGCTAATATACCATTACAAAGGTATAAAACACACAAGAATGTATAAAAAAGTAACCAAAAAGCAAACTTATAAAAGGTGCATGTCTAGGCCAAGGTGAAAGGCAACCCAAGAGTGTGCCTAGGCACACCGAGAACATACTTTTTCAAAGGGCTTTTGCCTAGGTTTAAGTGAAATTCATTATAGGAATGTGCCTTGCCTATGCACCTAGGCACACCTTCTAAAAGACTTGAAACATCTCCACATCATCAAGCATGTGGTATACCTAAGCATTCAACAAGATAAAGTCACTAATTGGATAAACCAACTTGCCAAGTTGATTAACTCTTGAACTAATACCACAAACATGAGTTCATAACCTGTCTTCAAGTTAACTGCATTTCTACTCAGAAGGGGAAAAGTCAAGAAGGATGTACCTGACAAATACCTCATGTCCTTGGTGATATGATTCAACTGTAAATACTGAAAAGGAGGAGAAGAATAGTCTAATCAATCTTATCTTGCAAAGGAGTGCTTGGGTTAATTAGTGTACACCTCAAGTCACATGTCTCATAAATCTTATTATGCCATTATCAGGCTTTACTTGCTAATAGTAATACTAATAAAATTTACATTTAGTAAAGAATAAAAGGTTCAGAGGAGTGCTTGGGTTAATTAGTGTGCACCTCAAGTCACACATCCCACAAATCTTATTATGCCATTATCAGGCTTTACTTGCTAATAGTAATACTAATAAAATTTACATTTAGTAAAGAATAAAAAGGTGCATAGGAGTGTTTGGGTTAATTAGTGTGCACCTCAAGTCACACATCTCATAAATCTTATTATGCCATTATCAGGCTTTACTTGCTAATAGTAATACTAATAAAATTTACATTTAGTAAAGAATAAAAAGGTGCATAGGAGTGTTTGGGTTAATTAGTGTGCACCTCAAGTCACACATCTCATAAATCTTATTATGCCATCATCAGGATTTACTTGCTAATAGTAATATAAAATTTACATCTAGTAAAGAATAAAAGGTGCATTTCCTTTCACCCGAACGGAGGAAAGTTGAGTGAAGTAGAACCAATCAAAAGACAAAAGGGGAAGTATAAAAAAGATAAGGTCCTCCCTTTCTTTACCTTAAGTTTGTAACAATCATGGATTGCTAAAAAGGATCATGAAAACATTACAACTCAGAAAATCTTTATCTCAAGTTCTCAACTATCTGGGGTTGGCTACAAAACACTCAACTCAAATCACCCTTAATCACAACTATTTTGGGGTTAGCTGCATGAAAACTACACCACTATGGGCCATAAAAAACCTGTTTCATCATCCCACTCTATCAGCCATGATACACCATGTTGCTTACATAATACCCTATAGTGAGATATATTCAAGCAAATAATAAACAAGAGGGAAGTTTCAGAAAGAGAAACTAGCCTAAGGAAACATTTGATAATGAATGAATTAGCTCAACTAAACTGCTTGTTTCAGTGTTTGTCTTTTAGTGAATAAGGAATTAAGTAGGGGCAAGTTCCTTAATGGCTAAATTTGCATGTGGCTTTACCCCAAAATATTTTCTTATATGACTAACCTATGAACAATTCAGTTCAGCCAACGCAACAGCTTATCACACACCCTCTAAATTACTTCAAATTGTCTGAAATTCCAGATCTGATAAGCAATAAATTTAGTTGATAAACTTTTCATAGTTTAAAAAAATGACATAATCAAACAAGGATGGAAACCAAGGTTTACAGATATAACTGTTGTGAGGATTATTTAATTGTTATTTTATAGTTGCTGTTAGTAGGTTGTCAGCTTAAGATGCTGTCAGTCAGTTAGTTTCTTTCTTTCTTATTAGTTTGTTTATAGGGAGTGCCACCAGGGGCATACTTGTAATCTCCCATTCCTTTTATATTAAGTTAATATAAATAACTAAACTGGCGGCAGCCAGAAGTAGTTGGTTTTTTTGTCTCTCAATCATATCTTCCTCTTCTTCTCTTTCTCTCTCTCGTCTCTCTCTCTCCATGAATGATTACATGGTATCAGAGCCAGGTTTTGGGCTATAAAAAAATCGGTTTCTCCCATTTGAACCTGCTTCATCCTCTTTTTTTCTTTGATTTCTTGGACGTGGAAGACAGAGAAACCCTAGCAGAATACTTGCGGCTCTTCCTTTGGGTTCTTCCTTGGTCGTAATATCAAGGARACCCTAGTMGAAGAAGGGCGATGYAGAAAAAGACTCCCTTTCTTATCTGTTCGATGCTGTGAAGTTAGTTTCTGGTTGGCACCTTCGTACAGGTGCTGGACAGGGTATGTGTTCTTGTTTTTTTTTATGGCCAATGGTGTGAAGGCCTTATTTCTTGGTTTTATACCTTCGTTTGGATGCTGGATTGTTAGATTGCATGGGCTATAGTCGGACTGCTAGTATACTATTCTAACGGCTGGTGTGGACTGATTACTGGGCTGTTTTAATAACTGAACCATCACTGAGTTGATTTCAGCAGTTTTTCTTTTGTTTTTTTTTCCACATTCCAGAAGTAAATTCCTTGAGGGTTGGTATTCTGATTGTGGCTGTTGTGTAGTTGTGTGGAATTTGGTCTGATTCAGTAGTACTCTATGGCAAACTATGATTCAACTTCATCGGGGGTTACACCGACCTGCAGCACAGCTGGTATGGGAAGTGAAAACATGATGTTTCCCATGCCCATTACCCCTTTAAATGGTCTAAACTACCTGKAGTGGGCTAAAAGTGTAAAACTTTATGTAACGGCAAGGGGAAAAGCTGGTTACATAAATGGAAGGGTGAAAGAACCCAAGAGTGAGACAGCTGAACATGATAGGTGGGACCAAGAAAACAGTATGGTGATGTCTTGGCTCCTTGCAGCCATGGAACCTGATGTGAAGAAGAACTTTATGTGGGCAGGCACCGCTAGTGAGATTTGGGAACATGCCAAAACCACCTATTCTGAGCAAAGGAATTATGCCAAGGTTTACCAGTTGCAAGCTGAATCCTCAACCTGTAAACAAGGAAATCGTAGTTTGTCTTCCTATTATTCAGCCCTTACTTCCRTATGGAAAGAATTGGATCATTATCAGGCTATAGAGTGGAAACATGATGACGATGCTAAGGCCTACAAGAAGCTGATTTCTCAGCAGCGTGTGTTTGCCTTCTTGTTGGGACTGAACCCTGCCTATGAACCCTTGAGAGTTCAGATCTTAGGAAGCAAAGAGCTGCCGTCGGTTCACGAGGTATATGCCCTTGTTCAATCGAAAGAAAGTAGGCRGAGTGTGATGGTTACAACCGAGGGAGAGCAACAAGTTGCTTTGGCTACAATGAGTAATAACAACATGGGGAAGAAAAGTGACACCAAG